GGGGGCGCGCGACGGGGCGACACAACAAAAAAAATCCCACCAACCCAAAAAACCACCACCAGCAGCTGAAGTTACACATTCTGAACTCAAAGATCTATGCTGAGAAGTTTCCAAAAACTTAACTGTGAAATAGAACTGTCTCAACCAGCCATAAAGCAAACTGTCAAACCTTTTTCACTTTTATATACATTCAGTTCCAGTAATTAACAGTATAATGTTTCCTCTTGAAGAGGATGAAGTGCAAAATAAAAATGAAAGTGACAGCTTTCAAATAATGACAAATAATCTAAAATAGCCTTTTTAAGAAAAGCACAGCTCCAAAGGAATCAACGCATCTGTCACAACAGCTTTGAAAAGCCACAGATAGACTACATAACTTTTATCTTTTCAGCACATACCTTAATTTTTGCCTCATCTGGTCCTTTGCTAGAATCTGCCACCTTGGTCCCCTGTTTTTCCCTCTGCCTGTACGTCTTCATGACTCCACATAAAAAGGCACTTTTGTTCTGCAAAAGATATATTAATCTTCAGTTCTGAAAACATGACAAGCCAGAACCTAATTATGCCTTGAACTAATACAGTGCCTGTTTTACTTATCACATATGGATCACTGAAGAGACTTAAGCAAACCTCTTGCCAGTCAACTAGCAAGTTTATCCCTCAACAATTATATTCTAAATTGTTTAACATTACCTGAACATGTGAGAGATCACTGTCTTTAAACTGCTGAAGCACTGCCAATGCACCTTCTTCATTAAATTCCTTTAAAGCTTCAATAGCTCTTTCATCTAGATCACTATGTGCAACTAGCCCTGCAGAAAAGAAAAAAAATTACTAATTACATTTGGGCAGCAATCTTTGTTTAATCACGTTTAACACATGCAACACATTTCAGTGACCCCTAAATCAATCACCAATTAACGTAAGTTACTATACCTAAGAAACCAGTTAGTCCTCTTAAAGGTAAATATCTAAGTGTATTTAACCTTCTTTTCATCAAAAAGTGTCAAAAGAAGTTAAGATTCAGAGTAAGAGTTACTCTATTTATGTATTCGTTTGACTTCTGTGAAACCCAGATGTCATACAGGCCAAGTTTATATTCAATATCCTGAAGCTGAATTCAGAAGGATGTATCAAAACCTGACATAGCTTGCCTAGCAATGGTACCTTGGTAAGTTTTGAGAAGACTATAAAGCCAAATAAGCTGCAGCGCTAAAAGTGACCACCACAATCCAAAAAATCAAGCTGAAAAAATGCTAGCTGTTACCATGTCTGAGAGAACCAGTACAATAACCTTTGCATCCATGAGCCCAAATACCATGTCACGAAGTATTATTTACATGAGAAGACAAATACCAAGGCTTCAGTTACTTAGTTACCTACAACTACTGTAAAAAATGCACAAAGACCGCATCACCTACTCCTCCTAAAAATCATCTGTTGCCTATCCCAGCTGTCGCTATGGTCACCTGCATAACTTTTCCTCCTTCCCACCCCTCAGCCCAAGTGGCCTGCGCCAAGACTTTTCTCTGAAAAATACTATGACAAATTAAAGCACCGAATGGAAAACATCCACAGGTTTTGGTAAGACTGCAGTTCCCATACTTTTGGAAACCACAAAAAGTTGCTATTTTAGCCCAAAGACAGCAGAATCCAATAAAATATTGTAAGCGTGGTTTTGCAAGTTTTACATCTTACCTGCAACGTAAATTTCATCTAGTTTTTCAGCAACTTTCTGTGGTAAACCAGCATCAAGCAATGTCTGGAAATGCTCAGAATGGGTAACTGCAGCAGAAGTATCCATGGGCTCTTCAGTACCATTCCCATTAACATGTTCAGTAGCCATGTTTCCAGATATCTGTTCAAATGCAATAAGCATCATAATTAAGCTAAAAATATCTTCAAGTAGAACAATTCAAGTGACAATACATGCAACAGACTGTCCTATTCTTGAAAAAAAAAAAAAAATTAAAAAAAATCGTAGACCACTTCCCTGATACTTTTTAATTTCAGAAGACGCACAAAATTCCTCAAAAGAAGCACTAACACAAAGGGAAGCCCTACCACCACTGCCTAGCGGGGGTGGGGTAGCTTTCACTGCAGGTTTTACACAACCCAGCCAGACACTCTGACTCACCTCCCTCTCTGTCTCTCT